TAAGGGCTAATAAGCTTACTCTGAATGTAAAGAAGACAAAATTCTTAATCCTAGAAAGCCAAGCGAGATTAAGTAATCTGAATTATCGCTTTAACATTCAAATTAATGGACAGTCTATAGAAAGAATGTATTCTTATAGATACTTGGGACTTGAAATTGATGAATCTTTAAATTGGCAAGTACATATTGAAACCATTTGTAAGAAGATAAGTGCAAGTCTTGGGGCGTTAAAGCGGATTCGAACTTTTGTACCCCAAAACACATTGATCCTGATGTATAAAGCCTTAGTGTTACCTTACTCAGACTATTGTAGTGAGGTTTGGGGCTGCCTAGGTAAAACCCTCTCTGAAAAACTCCAAAAACTGCAAAACAGAGCCGGTAGGATAATAACCTTCTCCGATTATGACGTCAGATCAGCTGATATACTACACAGTCTTGGTTGGGAAACTCTTGACCAACGTCGTGCTAAACAGCTCGCAACAAGTATTTATAAAGCAGTGAATAATTTATATCCCAACGAGCTTAATACTATTTTTGAACCTACCTCGCAAGTCCACTCTCACAATCTTAGAGGTAGTTCGCACAGTATGTTCACCCCTAGACCCAGAACGGAGGCTGGTAAAAGGAGCTTCGGCTACCGTGGGGCTGTTTTATGGAACGATCTTCCGGATGAAATAAGAAGTCAGGCTTCAATATATCTTTTCAAAAATAAACTTTCTAACTTTCAAATTTAATACTAAGATTAAGTAGTTGTAAATATGATAGGATTGTATATATATTTAACTAATTTCTTTTGTTTTTGTATTTTTACATGGCTCCTTGGAAGAGCACTTTAGTGAAAGGACACCATGTTACCTATTTATGTATTTTTTTAATAAAGCTTCATTGACAGGTGCGTGGGCACATTGGTACGTGGGAAATGATAAAACAAAACATGGCGAATACCAAAGGACGCCGATTTCTGCTTCTACACCGTCATAGAAGGCAGTAAGGTCAATAGTATTTCAATTTTAGGCATAAAAATTTTCAAAATTGACGAGTATCAAAATATATAATTGGGCTATAAATTTAGCCGCATTTTCATTTTAATTTTAATTTATCTAACTTTGCCTTGGTAACAGTATTAAGAAAAAACATCAAGTTACTATATATAAACAGGGCAGGATTTCCGCAACAGCTACAGCAAATTACTGCGGATCCTTCTTCACAATATTCGATAAATTAGTTAAGTTTACTAAGGACTAAATTGTAAGGACTAAATAATAAAATCGGTCAATCAGTTAACGAACTGTTCAATTGATGTGTTCAATCAACCAACCAAGAGATCAAGCAATCAGACACTTACTTATAAAAATATATTTTACCATTGGTAAAAACAAAACCTTTCCATACAATGTAATAGCATGGATATGAAGAAAAAACCCCTTAAAAAACACAGTGACTGAAAGTTACACACAATCCAGTTTGAAATTAACCTGGAAGGTGCCTGTCCACAGCCGCGATCTGGAATTACCTGGTATGAAAAAGCCCTAGTTTTACCAAAATATAAATAATCAGTTGCGCGAGGTTCAAAAACAACAAGAAGGGGGAAGCAGCAAATTTCGAACACAGTTAGAGCACATTTTGCGTGTTTCTTACTCTTTAGTGCATGTCACAGTTGTGTTAGCGCTATTGACATTGTGTTGTCTAAATCAACTAATCACATACTTTTACTTGCAAGCACTTATACTGTCAAATTTTAGGCAGGTTTCTAGCCTTCTACTATCACAAAATAGGCCTCTACTTTAAAGTGCCCCTGACACAAAAATTGATTTTTTGTGTATTGAAAGTACACATTATGTGGAGTGTTTTGGTGAAAGAATTTTTTTATTTCATTAAAAAGGAAAAATTTAGATCGGTTTAAACACAAAAATTTTTAGCCCATGGACATCGGCTACAGGAGTCTGGGGAGAGCATTTTTTGTGACGTCACGCAAGTGAGTCAAATCTTGACGGTCTGTTAGACTGTAACGTTATCAGTTTTGATCAGCTCGAAGGTTTTGATCGCTGAACGGCTGAAGTGTTTTTATATTCTAAGTTCTATCATGGTTCCATAAAGTATCATGTCGACAACAGAATCCGACAGTAGCGATCAGTCCGGTGATTCCAGTGCGAATTTTATACCTGGTTAATATGTTGTGTTGGAAGATACTGATCTGTAGCATCTCGCCATGTCCCTAGTATTATCATTAAACCACCAAATCTATACGACGCGGACGTGACGAAAAACTGCCGCTATTATCACAATTTCACTTCACGGGTAAAACTATGGATTGTTGTTGGCAAACAAAGCTAGGGGCACGAGAAAAATAACTAAAACTAGTGTCCCATTATTAACGACTGTTTTTTAGTCGCGTCTGCGTCTCAGATTTGGCGCATTTCCCCTGACTTTGCAAGGTTTATATCTCCGGTTCGGCGCATGCTATGAAGACAAAAATACTACGACTCGATTCAGTGAAAAAAAATCTCCTAATTCCCAGCGATAGTTTTAGACTTTTAGTCAGATACAGGCTATAGTTTTAGTCAGATGGTATAGCTATTTATGACCTTTGTCTTTGATAGGTCAAGCGGTGTCATAATTCATTATATTACTCAATTTACAGTCTTGAACAATGTAAATTATTCATATCTTTCACCGAACATAACTTCGACCCCTTTGGAAATATCTTTTTCGTAATAGTCTTATTCGAACCGGAATCGAAAACACTATTTAGAGTGTTATTTTCAAGCTTGTGTCTTCAGATTTGCATCTCTTATTTCGGTATTACAAAATATTTATATTATTAGCAGGCCCGTAAAACCGAAATTGGATCATCAAAACAAATCCAATTATCGTCAGTCTTTAATAGCTTCGGATAGTTAGGCTTGCCGAGCCCCGTCAACGAAAGACACGAAAAGAATCGCCTCTCGTAATCCTCTCGTCAAAAATGATCCCAGCATATAGTCGAAGTTTAGCTTTGACGGCACAAACAAACGTTTTGCGGATACAAAACCAACCCATACTTTTCTTCGTCTTTTAGCTCCGCGCGTTCGTTATTGAAGTATGGAATATTGTGTAAACTTATTCCATCTTTTAAACATGGTTTATTGGTACAGTTAGCTGCAACATAGTAAAGAGGCATATATTTTTCGATCACAAATCTAGCATATTTGTGTCGAATACTATAGAATACGCCGACTCATTTGCGTGAAGTAACAAAAATCGCTCGTTCCAGTTTCCTCCGAACACGGACGCGTGCCAACAAGAACTGTAGGCCCTCCTCGATTGTGCTCGGCAACTTTTTAGCAACTTTTGGCGTTTGGAGCAACTTTTTTCGGTTATAGTAACCTCAAGCAACATTTGCGTTTCAGAGCAACTTTTTTGCAAATTGCAGGTTTACTGTATAAATCATCAATCATTTTAGCCAAAAAATTAAAAGATTTGATAAATGATAATATAAAAAACATTTTCTGATGATAATTTATTACAGTGTAATGTTTTAATATCGCAGTATAGTGTTTTGATCAAACTACCTGTCACTGACAGGTAGTTTTAAGGTCAAACAGCAAACTACCTGTCACTGACAGGCGTCAGCCTTTACTTTGTAATTGGTATTATTTACTAGGGTTTCCCGTGTAAGTGTTCAGCACTAGAAACAAAATGGCGTCTTCATTTTTAAATTAAAATTGCTAATTTGAAGCATGGCCGAAACACAAAACCTATCAGACCGAGACGAATCCTTTGACTCATCAGATTCAGACAACGAAGATGTGCAGGTACAAGTACAAGATCCAATTTTGACAGCAAGAAATGCTGGTGCAAGTCTTAGTGTTCCAGCAAAAGCTAACATTGCACGTAAGAGAAAACTTCCTACCAACCAAGGAAAGTACAATCAAAGGGGGAATAAAACTATTGCCAATACAACTGCCTGGGATCGTTTGAAGGATTTCCCCAACCATCATTTTACTGTAATCGACCGGAAATTGCGGTGTAACGCTTGTAATGAAGAACTCTCTTTGAAGAAAAGTTCAGTCAAAAAACATATTGAGTCAAAAAAGCACAAGAAGGGATTTCTGATATTGCAAAGAGCAAATCACAAAACCAGACAATAATGGCATGTCTGCAAAAGAGAGATAAGAGAGAAAGTACACCTGGCTCAACCTTGCCTGCGGAAATGCGATTGTTTCGTTTTGGAGTTGTTGAATCTTGTCTCAATGGTGGTATACCAATAGGGAAAATCGATGCCCTTCGACCGTTACTAGAGAAGCATGGCCATCGGTTAACCAGCAGCGGCCATTTGGGCGAGCTTATTCCAGCAGTACTAGAAAAAGAGAAGGACAAGCTGCAGGAAGAACTCAAAGATGTGAAAGAGGCTTGTGTAATTTTCGATGGTACAGCCAGATTGGGTGAAGCTCTGGTTATCATAATCCGCTTTGTCCAGGAAAACTTTATACCTACGCAGCGGCTCATACGCCTGGAAATTCTTGCAAAGTCACTGAAAGGAGAAGAATTGGCTCAGCGACTAATGTCTTGCCTGGCTGTGGATTATAAGCTTGGTCCGAGTACAGTCATTGGAGCTGTAAGAGATGGCGCATCTGTTAATGGAGCTGCCTTGAGACAGCTGATGTTTTTTTATCAAAAACTCTTTGATGTTGTGTGCTTCTCCCACACTATTGACAATGTCGGCAGCCATTTTCAGTTTCAAATCCTGGACCTATTCTCGCACTATTGGATAGGCATGTTTTCCCATAGCTTCAATGCATGCCTTATTTGGAGAGAGAGAACGGGCAAGTCCATTCGCAAGTTCAGCGACACACGTTGGTGGAGCAAATGGGAAGTGCTTAACCAAGTGGTCGACTATTTTGGTTATGTTGAGCCATTTCTTCGCGAGAATGAGGAAATCTGTCCTGCTAATCGCCAACATCTGCTGGAGATATTTGACGATCCCCAAAGCTTGCAAGAGTTACGCATGGAGCTGGCTGCACTCGTTGATGCAGGGGTTCATTTTATTAAAGCAACCTACTACTTGGAAGGAGATGGGCCACTCATTTTCACCTGCTATGAGAAGCTTTCGGCTGTTTCCCGGGCTGTAGCTGTCGACAATTACCCTAACACCTTGGCTGTTGCTCGTGAAAGTGCTGGTGGCAATGCTGCGCTATGCAACCAGTTAATTGCACGGGCGAAAGCTTGTATCCAGCCAGGCCTCCAATTTTATCAGCAGAAGTTCAGTGGCCAATTTTATGGAACTGTGCGAGCATTCAAAGCTGCACGTCTTTGTTGCCCTGCACAAGTGCAAAGCCTGAATCCGACAGCTGCATCACTCGAAGAGTTCAGAAGTTTTCCCTTCATCGATGACGACACCACAATAGCAAATCTGGCACAAGAGCTTCCTTTGTATCTTGCTGCAGCTGATGGGGTCACAGTCACTTGTGAGAATGACAAGTTGACATGGTGGGCAGCTCACAAAGATGTCCTCCCGCACTGGTCTTCGCTAGTCAAAACACTGCTGTTGATCCAGCCAAGTTCAGCATCTGCAGAAAGGGCTTTCAGTCTCCTGTCCAATGCATTTTCCTCGCAGCAAGATAGTGCCCTTGAAGATTACCTCGAAGCTTCTGTTATGCTTCAATACAATAATACAAAGAGGTCGTGACTGTGTAACAGTCTTGATTTTGTGTTGGCCGTGACATTGGATATATATAAACCGCATTTAGGTCGGCATTACTCGATGCAAATATAGGTGAATAGGTGATCGACTAATCTACAAATCTACCTTCCACCAAGTTGAAGTCAAATGAACCATTATAAGTTTTGTTTCAATGTTATTTGTTAATAATAGTTTTGTAAAAATACGCCGATATGTTTGCGAACGATTTATTAAAAGCTTTTTACAGTTTTTTTGGTGAAATATGTGTGAAAATGTCGTGAACTTTAGGTAACGAGCAGGCGCAACTTTTGATGTTCAAGTAGCAACTTTTTGGATTTTTGGCATCTTTTTAGCAACTTTTCGCATTTTAGGCAGCAACTTTTCGCATTTTAGGTGGCAACTTTTTAGGATTTTACGAGCACAATCGGGGAGGGCCTAGTTGTGACGTAATTGCTGGAAAGGTCTATTCATCGCAAGTTGCCGAAAAAACCCATTTTGTTCCATTTGGCAAAAAGGGAAAAGCCTGGGAACGAGGTTACCATTTTGGTCAAATTTTGGAGCGAAATTGTGGTCCTAGTCCGCGTTTTACTAATAGAGTCCAGTCCGCATTTTACTAATAGAGTCCAGTCCGCGTTTTACTAATAGAGTCCAGTCCGCGTTTCACTAATAGAGTCCAGTCCGCGTTTTACTAATAGAGTCCAGTCCGCTTTTTACTATATGCCCCAGTGCGGCGCCGGATGACACAAGGGAATGTCAAGGAAAAAAACTATGTACAAGACTAGGCGGCTCGCTTTTAAAAGTTCAAAACTGGTTTCCTGGATAGTTCTAGTCCTAAGTATTTTACATCCACTAACAGCAAAAACGTCCTGGGTAACAGTTTCCTATTCAAAATATTACACAAGTTTGAATGTGCCGAAAACAACTTCGCACCTTGTCTTTGACAACTGAAAAAAGAAATTTATAACTGCTCTACGTTCTGGAAACATGTTTTGTATTAAATTTCAGGTATTGTTGAAAGTTTTTAGCTTTTTTCCTTGTTAAAATACAGCAATTTTTACATGCAATTTTTGGGGGTGGGTCAGCCAATTTTGACATGCTTCAAAGGGGTGGGTCTTTTTATAGTTTTGGTATAAATGTAGGGGGTCATAAAAATAATCAGTGAAAAAATCACCAATATAATTTTATAGAATTTGGAAATATTTGGATCAAGAATGGTCTAGAATCTATCAACTATCCTGTCATCTATTACAACGAAGCAAAATTAATTTGACGCTCTGTTCACACAATCCATAGGAAAACATTTCCATGACGTTCGTCAATTGACCTCGTTTTTATCCGTTTTTGCGTGAAAACATGAATTAAAGAAAACACAGGACCATAGCATGATTTCAAAATTATGCAGACCTTCATCCATTTTAAGCTTTATTAATTTTCAGCGGCTACATTATCCATGACAAACTGCAAGGAATAAAGATAGTAGCCACAGTTTCCTGCAACTTATCCAATATATAGTTAATTAAATACACCTTTGCCCATTTAGTACTACCAAATTGTCAATTTCGACATTCTAAAACGCTGTTTTCTGACCATCAGAATTCTGTCAAATCTTCTCCAAAGTCCAGGAAATGGCATTTCAGAGACTCTAGATTTAAAAATTTCCTCGGTCCTTCGGTCCTCCCTTTCAGCCCCTCCCTAGGGCCCTGAAACGCTACGGAAATGACACCGTGTGGATTATTAATAGTTAGGATGAGGGGTCAAAAAATTTTTCAGTAAAAAAATAGGTGGTCATAATTTTTTATCAACTTTTCTCCTGGGGGTTCCAAGTTTGTATACTGTAGACATCGTCTTCTGGCCTACCCTCTCAGGTAAAATGATGCTCCCTTGGTGGTCGAAAACAGACATCTTTTAGGCGGCGTATTTTCCACTCCACAGGGTTTTTTCCTGGATTTTCTCTTGGGTCCATTTTTGCAGAGAAGATTGAGTTTAGCTGAACAGCTGGGGGTCTGGGGCAGCTGTGGGAGGCTGACTCCTGTACCCAATAAGTGTAGTTGAGACGGAATGTGTTAAAGCAGACACTATAAACTGGTTAAAGATGGCGAATGCGTTGAATTTTCTTGTGTTGTGAAATGAATTCCAGCCATTTTTTCCTGATTTTCGGGTTTCCAACTGAAACTAAGTTCCACACGTCACAAATTTAACTCAAACAACTTCATTTTTACTGCACTGAATCTTTTGGTGAGAAGATTGAGTTTCAAAACTCAATTCAAGATTGAGTTTTTGGGGCTGTTTTACAGTCCTAAAAAATCCCTGAAAAAATCCCTGCTCCATACCTACACGGCGGCCATCATGCATGGCTTCAAAGATGGCGGCCAAGTTATCATTCCAGTTCTCTTAGAGTTCTCTGTGACCACCCACTCAACATCGTTGGTGACCGGCGAATGCTTTCGTTTGCCCGGGTGTAAATAGCCGGGGGGAATTGGTACCCTCGCCCCGGGCTTACGCCTATGCATTTAACCACTGCAAGAATTTTTTTTCAAGACTATTTGCACTTTGCTGTTTGCTTGCACGATTTTTTTTCTCTGATGTAATGGCTGCACAAATTTTTTTCCAGGCATTTT